GCAAAGGAAAGAATATATAAATACAAAACTGGGACCCCTCGAAATAAAAAAAATCTTTTATACCAGAAAGTAATGGACAAATTCAAAGACAGGCACATTCTCTAATTTATATCGATTGAACTGTAAACTTGACAGGAAATGACATCATCCTTTGTGTTCTAGAGGTAGTTCCCAAAAGTGAGGGACTCGGCAAGATGACTTTTCTATCTGAAAGCGAAAGGCTACAGCTGCTATTTTCTTCACCAAGCATTGCTTTCTTTCTGTCTTCCGATGGTAGTTTTGAGGCACGATCTGAAGAAACAAATAATCAATATCAATGACAAAGAATCATCAGAGGGTGGTTAGCGGGTGCTCTGGTGTACTTTGCTTCTTCTTTCCTATCAAACATCTATCGTCTAAGGTCTTTATCTCCCCTTCTTCTTTTTTATGTTCGTTACTCTCTTGTAACACCTCTAATCTTCAGGCGCTCATATGACCTTATGCAGTTGCGAGCGCCGTAAAACCTCTACTAAAACAAAACTAAAAGAATCATCATAGTCTTACATCTGAGTGAGAACAAGGAAAACAACTGTCATCACATTGTGTCCAAAGCACCCCAATAACAAGTTTGTTTTGTTTTTGGTTTTTTGTCGCATCTATCCCATCCCCAACCGGATGAAATTCAATACATGTATGTGATTGCAAGTTCTACGATTTGCAAAATATAACAACGAAAACAGTAGGTGCATGTTGAAATAATGACAACAAAGGAAACTGATGTCTTTTGATACTTCTCTGTGTCTGCTTGTAACAAGACGAAGAGATTATCTCTCAGTACATCCAATAAAATCGGCATCAAACGTTTGGAGATCCACAGTTCGAAAGGAAATCGAAAGACGAGGGCGGGAAGCATACACACACGCACACACAGCACGTACACACACAATATAGGCCTAACACACACACACACACACACACACACACACACATATATACACACACACACATACACACACACAAACACACACA